AAGAGTGTTCTGTTCAGTTTGTGTAATACTTACTGTTTAAACCTCTCCTGTGTGCCTGGCAGGAGGGAGGTGAATTAAGACATGTCAGGTGCAGTCTGTGAATCTGTGCATTCAGGGAGCCCGATTACCCCTTTGCTGTTAGTAAGGGTGCCTTGAAAGGCTTTGTCAAGCTCTTCTGAAACCAGGTCAGCGTGTTCCCCACACTCCTCTAATAGTATCAAGAAGAGAAATGAGAGTATCTCAGCATGATGTGTTTTTATTAAATCCGTATTGGCTCTGTACCACTTTCTTTTCATAAACCATAAGTTTAATGCAATACAGAATTTTGCTGGTGATTTATGTTAATTTAATCATCTGTCTGTGGCTGGCTGGCTGGCTGGCTGGCTGGTGGATCTTATAACTGAAATTCTTTGAACCCAGAGGGGTTTCTAAAGCAGCCTACGTATGTATTTCTTTTCCTAGGTAAAATTGGGGTAGAGGCAGAGAAGAAATTCTCATATATCTGAAACCTACATGGTGAGAATTGGTACTTTGGAGCAGTGAGGACTTTTCATTTATTATCAACTGTTTAGTTGTAACTTTCACAGCTACTGTAGATATCTATTGCTACAGTGAAATCATGAAGGAAAGTGTATCAGAAGCACTAATTATATCTTGACACAGTTTTTATTTTCAGCTGCATTTATTAAGTGTCAGCTGCGAATCCAGCCCCTTAGTCTGTAAGTAACTGCAAGAATACTTACAGATAAATTGACTTCTTTTTTTTTCTTTTGAGTGTGTTAATGGTGACATAGCATCTATGGTGTTCCAGGCACTATTCTAATTGCCTCCATACAGTAACTCAATCCCATTATAGCCACTTTATGAATGAGGAAATTGGGGCAGAGAGAGATTAAGAAACTTGCTTAAGTCACACTGCTAGGAAGTAGTGGAACTTGGGTTCAGAACTGGGCAGTCTGGCTCAGGTTAGACTCGGTTTCATTATCATTCAGCAGACATTTATTGAGTCCCTTCTCTTGGCAAAGGATTGAATTGGGTCATTTCTAAGAGTCATTCATTCACAAATACCTAGGGAGTACCTACTCTGTGCCAGAGGACGGGGGATGAGCAAGACTAAGTCTCTGCTCTTGGGGAATTTACCGGCTAGTGGGAGTCAGAGAGTAAATCAGTATAAACTTTCAGAACGTGGTAAGTCCGATGACTAAAATAAAGTGAGGGAAGGGGCTGGATAGCGATGAAGGGGGTGCAGGGATATTTTTAGATTTTGTGGGCTGAGAAGGCCTCTCTGTCACTGTCATTTGAGCAGAAACCTGTTTGAAGAGAGGAGCCAGCCCCACGGGAGTCTGAGGGACGAGGAGGGTTCCAGGTAGAGGGAGCAGCAAATACAAAGACCTGAAGGTCAAAGGGAGCCAAGACCAGGGATCGAGGGCAGGATGAGCAGGGCACAGATGTCCCAGATGAGGTCTTGTGACCCTTGTGGGTTGTGGTAGGGAGTTTGGATTTTATTCTGAGTGTGATTGTAGTTTCTGAGAGTTTTGATCAGGAGAGTGACATGCTCTTTCAAAGAGTATGGAGAACGGCCTACAGGGAAACAAAAATAAAATGAGCTTTGTGTTGAGCCAAGGGAGGCCCTCACTTCCGGCACTGTAGTTCTGTTGGCTGTCGAGGTGCTGCTCTCCCTCAATACCTGCTCTAGAACTTAGGTCTCTGTGTAGCAAACCTCTGCTGGAGGGCCCTGGGTAGGGTGGGTCCTGAACCTGGGTCATTCAGTTCCCCTGACCTCCCTGCCCTTTCCTCCTAAGACGTTCATGTCTTCCCTTCACATTCGTTTCCCATGGAGATCATGTCTTGAGGGGAGTGATTTGGAGAATAACTTGTATTACAAGACTAAGGGAAAACTTGTTGGCTTTATTTACGGCCAGAGAATGAAGATGAGGGACCGGCTTGGTTTGGAAAAGCCACCCAAAGGGGATTCAGATTGGTAAGAACCTTGAGCTAGACACCACAAACCAGGGTAGCATAGCAATGATTAGCTTTGATGCATTTAGACACATTACTCGGCTTCATTATCAGTAGAGACAGTATCTGTCCTGTTAACCTCATGAGGCTGACATGGGGTACAGTGAGATGAGAATGTGGACACCCTCTGCACAGATGTGCCATGGAAATCTGAGCTGGTGGTGGTCCTTTATAGGAAATTACAGGCATTTGTAGCTCATTGGCTATTTGTATATGCTCAATTAGTATTCTGGGAAACACCCTGTAGTAAGGGTGCTAGTGTTTTCTCTGGTCACATAGTCGGAAGAGGAAGGAATTTGCAGTGTGTGACAAGACTTGGTTGACTGACTCTCCCCTCTCCCACCCACTAACGAATTTAAGAACTGGTTAACTTCCCCGTCTGGCCAAGACGTCTCAGACCTTTGTGTGGGCTGTTCCTGGAAGGTTATTGGCTGCAGCCCCCAGAGCAAAGGTTAGGGGAGTTGGCTCAGAGTCACTGGGAGGCCAGCAAACAGGCGGCCAGATAATTACACACACTCAACACATACACACAGAGGTGAACAAGGCAGTTCCAATTGTTGGGGACTCACAATGTGTGTGTATGTTATATATGTAAATAAATGATTCAAATTGTGAAATTTGCTTTGGTGGAATTATCTTCAAAATATTGAGGAGGGAGTGACTAATTCTGCCAGGGAGTGGACCAGGGAAGTATCAGGAGGAGGGGCCGTTCGAGCAATTGCTGTGAGACACTTGGCGACCTCTATCTTCATGAAAGAGGAAGGGGCTTGCAAGCACACATGAGGGGTACAAAGGAGCACGGTGGGTTCTGGGAACTGACCGGTCTAGACCAGGCTATGGAAAACTGCTCTCTGAGCCGATTGTTGGTTTATCTGACTAAAAATTTTTAATTCTCTTTTTTGTGCAATATTTAGCTGTTGATAGGCCCTGTGTGAGGCCCAGTGTGCTAGCTAGTGTTGGTGAAATATGAGTGTGGGCCCCCTGCAATGCCTAGCATGGGCCTGCCTGAGGTTAGTTGTTTAAATATTTACAGAAATGCTGAAGATGTGATGGTTATCTCAGAGCTCAGAGAAGATGTCACCTCTCAGACCACAGATTCTGGGGCACGGACCCTGTACGCCCTGCAGTGTCAGGATGTTGGGAAAGCAGCCAGATCAGCTGGGCACTGCTGTAGCGAGATTCTGCAGTCCTGTCCAAACCAAGAGCAGCTGCTGAGGGGTTTGCCTTCCCTGCTGACAATCCCCAGGCTGAGGAGAAGTGGAGGTGGGGTCCATTCCCATGAGTAACTTCTGTGAGAATGATACCCTTTCAGAAATTACAAAAATATATTTGACACCAAGTAAGTCTGTGGTTACACCAGGCCGTGCTCCCTCTGCTGTTCCAGCCCTCTTCCCGATGGCTCGTGGTCAGCTAGAAGACGTGCATGTGACTGCTAGGTTGACCTCTCACTTTCTGTATGTTCCCTTATCTGGGGGCGAAGTCATATCTGACCTGCATGCAAGGAGAGAGAATTCAAGCACTTCTCCAACTCCAACCTGTGGTCTGATGACCCACAGACCGGGAATGTTGCCTGCATTCCTGACCAAGGCCCTTTCCATGGTGTCGTGCCACTTTCTTGCCATATTCTCTAGTCTTTGCCTTCTAATGATCCCAAGGTGACTGACATTCAGAGGCTTTGACATCTGCCCAGCAGTGCTTTGTTCTGTTATCAAACCTGAAAACCAAAAAAGGTAACTGTCAGACTCTACCTTTTTTGGATATTGTAGGGGCATAATTTATTCCAGTGGCTTCCTACTAAGGCCTATAGAGAAAGAGGTCCATAATTTAAAAAATCTTTTCTTTCCTTTCTTTTCTGCATTGCTCTCTCCACCTGCCCCACTGTGAAAACTTTCTTTATTGTGGACAATTTTAAACATGTACATGAGAGGAGAGAACTGTATAATGAACCTGCAAACATCAGCTCCAGCAGTTGTTGGCTTTGGGACATCTTGTACCATCTGTATCCCCACCTCCCCTTCCTTAATTATTTTGAAGCAAATATCAGTCATCCTATCATTTTATCCACAGATATTTTGGTATATATTTCTAAAAAATGAAGACTTTGTAAAGGCGCTGTATTTCCATTATTACACCTAGAAGTTCTTTAATATCATAAAATACCTGGTCAATATTCAAATTTACCTGAATATCTTAACACATTTCATTTTAATCAGGATCCATTGAAATTATTCATCTGTCTCTAGAGTTTCTTACGTTTCTAGGGGCTCCTTCTCTTTCTTCCTAGCAGTTTGTTTATTGAAGAAACCGGGTCTTTGGTTCTCTTTATCTTCACGTGGTTGGGAGTCTGCCGATCGCATGCTCAAAGTATCATCTAACATCTTTCTCATTCCTCTGTATTGCCTGTAAATCAGTGTTGTTTCTAGAGATTCGTTCTGGATTCATCTTCAGCTTTCTGGCTCACATATGTCACAGGTGCTGGTGTGAGCTGCTGACAGGAGGCGCATAATGTTCAGTTGTCTACATATTCCTACATATCTAGGTATGATTGATTGAGCTTTTTAATGTGCTAAGTATTTAAGAGGGTTCAGGCCCCTTGTTCTTTTCCTGGGCCCAGGTGGTGGTCTTGAGAAAGTGGGGGAAAGAGTATGTGGTGTAGTCAGACCTCTTTCTCTGTGGAGGTCTGACAGTGGTAGGGGCTCTGACGTTCTCTGTCCCTCCACTGTTTGCTTCTCTGGGTTCCTCCAGCGCTTGCTGGAAGATGCATCGGCACAAATACGGTGTAGAGCGCTGCCACAGCCTCTTCTCTTGGTCATAGAAGACACATTCACTTAAGAAATGCTAGATAAAAAGAAGCTCCAAGTCTTGGAAAGCTATTTCTGTATTTAGAGGTATGTCTTGGGGTAGCTACATGCCAGCCACTTCTGCTGTTCTCCAGGTGTGTGTTTTCATTTAGGTGTAAAGTGATTCCTTTCTTCTTTCAGGATCTCATTTTGCCCAATGGTGGTACTCCGGCAGGTACTTCGAGTCCAGCTTCTTCATCCTCCCTGCTCAACAGACTTCAGCTTGACGATGACATTGACGGTGAGACCAGAGATCTCTTTGTCACAGTCGATGACCCCAAGAAGCATGTGTGTGCGATGGAGACCTATATTACGTATAGGATCACCACCAAAGTAAGTCCCTTCACTATCTGCTGCCCGTGTTGAATGGTCTTGGGGAATTGGAGTCCTATAGAAACATCATATTCTCTTGAAATTTTTTAATCATTGTATCAACCTGAATCTCTGTGATGACACCATGATTATAACTTGGTACAACTGGTATTGGTTCTAGGGAGAGGAGTGAGAAAAGGATGGGAACTAATATTTATTGACTTTCTGCCATGTGCCAGGTGAGTAGTGGGCAGGGGACTGAGGGTGGATTGATTTTCACAGCTTTCCTAAAAGGTAGATTGGTTATTTACGATTTCAGAGATGAGAGGCTAGAAGGAGAAACCTTAGGTGCCTTGTTTATGGTTACAAAGTTGGTGACCAGGATTCTAATTTGAATTTGTGACACTGTAAAACCCATATTTTTATTTTCAAACTCATACTCTTTACCTAATTCCACTTATAAAAGAGTAACTTTAATGTATCATTTTTTGCTTTTGAAAATTATGTTTTGAATATTTAAAATAGCACTAAAATTTTAGGTTTGGAGCAGGGTTTCTCATCCTTGGCAGTATTGACTTTCTGGACTGTGTAATTCCTGGTTGTGGGAACTGTCCTGTGCATTGCAGGCTAACAGCATCCCTGGCCTCTCCCTGCTAGACGCTGATAAGACCCTTCCCTAACCTACAGCTGAGACAACCCCAAATGTCTCCAGGCTTTGCCAAGTATTTCCTGGGGGATGAAATTGCCTCGGTTGAGAACCAGTGATCTAGAGGAAGAGTAACAATATCTGTACTGTTAGAGACAAAATTTGCATTATCACTTTTTATTTTTTGTTAAAGTGTTTTAGTCAGGAAACAGCCCTGTTTACTGGTGTTCCCTCTCCACCATGGGCCACAGGACTAAGAGGTATTTAGATAGTTTTAGAGGTTTAAATAGAGTGAAGATGCCTTTGTGGATCGTATTAAGAGAAACATTTATAAACATGTTTCTCTTCTGTGACTTTTCTCTTTCTCATTGTAGAAAGTAATTATTATTGTAAAAGTTTAGTAGGTTCTGTACTTCTCTAGATTTTTGAGGGAAAAAAGAGAGAATAAAGCATGCTCAAATTTTGTTTCTTCATCTTTTATGGGATATTATGTTAAATTTGAAATAGATGAAGGGGCTTAAGAGGTACAGACTTCCAGTTATAAAATAAATAAGTCAGAGGGATGAAAAGTACAGCAAAGGAAATATGGTCAGTAATATTGTAACAACTTTGCATAATGGCAAATGGTAACAGACTTATTATGGTGAGCATTTAATGATGTAAATAAACATTAATCACTATGCTGTATACCTGAAACTAATATATGTCAACCACACTTCAATAAAAAAATTAAAATTATACAAGAACTAGCAATACATTATTGAGAAAAATATTACAATACTAAAGACTAAACACAAAAAAATACGAGTCTTCCTTAGCCACTCTCACTTCTATTATTCTCATTAAAATTTGGTTTGTGTTCTTGCAGTTCTTTTTTCCTTGTATTTACATTTAGTGCTCATGGTCAGCTAATTAAAATACATATATAATTCAGATTTCACTGTAATATTATTTCCTAATGTTCCCCTCTGCAATGTTTTTGAAGATCTTTCCATGTTCATATATATATATGTGTATATATATATAGTGTGTATCCATATTTATATTTATATACATACATATATATATATATATATATAGAGAGAGAGAGAGAGAGAGAGAGAGAACACTTATTCTTTCAACCTCTGCCTAATTATTTATGCCATAATTATACAGAACATTTATGGACTCTTAAGCCTTTCCCAGTCTTTTGATATTACTGCCCTGTCCTTTCTGCACCTAGTTCACATTTGAAAATTTGTCTCTCTGTGTGTGCACATGTGTTCACGCAGTCTTCCCCCATCACAATTGCCAGGGGGTGCCTCCAACTTCCCAGGCATGGGGCTAGGTACTTAGATGCATATTATATCCTCAGAGGTCCTAGGTTGATATACAGGTACCCATGAATTATTTCCATTTATCTTTTCTTCCCTAGGGTAAACTCATTTTTTACTCTGTAGTCAGTGAAATTACAAAACCTGTTTTTCTTGAATTTGTGCTCCAAACAGTTGGATGACAAGGTTACACAGCAATGCTTGCCTGCCTTAATTTCCCCCACCCCTCCTCAATTCCTCTGTCCTGCATTTACCTCTCCTAATGCTAGTACTGCAGGGCCTCCGTTAATTGATTCACAAGCTAAGGCACATGCTGCAACTCACCACCACTTCCTGGGACCCTTCTCTTTCCCTCCTTCTTTCCTCTTCCCTGTGGCTGTCTGGCTTCCTGTAGGTCAGAAAATGTCTTAGGATAAACTTGTCCAAGTTCCAATTCTATGTTTTCATTTGGTTGTGATGCCAACGTCGCATGGTGAACTTGCAGAATTTAGTTTTATTTCTCATTGCCAGTTCTACTTATGATCTCAAGCCAGTGTCCTCCTTTTCCTGTTTCATGTAGTAATGCCAGGTTTAGTATCTTGGTGTTGCACTGGGAACCTTCTTTCTGAGTGTTGCATTAAAGGATGTCTACATATTCCTACATATCTACTTGCCCTTGGTGTGTGGGGATGAAAGAGACAGGCACACAGGGCCTCAAGCACCTGATCTTGTCCAGGGCCCCTACCTCTGCTGTGACTCTTAAGTGAAGTTAATGGTCAGACCACAAGTTGTACAACAACTCAGTTTATAACTTTGAGCTTTAGCTCTGCAGTCCTAATTCAGACTCCTGATGACCAAAACTGGGCAAAGTACAAAGCTGCTTTTGACTGAGCTAAAATGAGGCTAGGGCTGAGAGCCAGTGTAGGCACAGTTGTGGGTGTCTTATCCCTTCAGTGGTAGCGAGCCAGCCTAGACCTTCTTAGGGCAGGCGGATCCTGGCTCTTTTCTCTGCAGGCTCCTAGAAAGTAACATTATAATAATAGCCAGTTATTGAGCACTTAGCATGTGCTGTCCTTTTTTGCAATAGAAACCCCTTAAATTTTATTTTATGCAAGTAATGTGCTCACTGTAGAGAAATTAGAAAACTCAGGCAAGCTAAGACTATAAAAGAGCACCTATAAGATCACCAACCAGAAATAATCATTTACAACATTCTGAACTATTTGTCTCTATCCATTTACAAAAATGAATTGCATGCTGCCAGTTCACTGAATACGCTGCGAACAACTTCCTATGCTAATAGTTGCCAGTAAGCACACTTTTATGCTGTCCTTTCTAAGACTCCAATAGTGTGCCCCTGAATGGGTGAGCTGTCATCTATTTTGTGCTACAAGCTTAAATATATCATCAGTTAATCCACGCACTCAGTGAAGTGGGTACTGATATTTTTATCTTATCTTTTATTTATTTATTTATATTTATTTTGGAGATGAGGAAAGTAAGACACTGAGATATTTTTAAAAATTGCTCAAAGGCATGCAGTTAATATGTGATGGAGCTAGAGCTTGAATCAGGATCTGCCTGTGCTGTGCTTTCCACAGACATGATTTTCAAGAGGAATGGCTCCCCTCCACCCCTTTCACCCAACCCTGTGGCCAGGCTACCACCACGGCCTGGCTCTTGAAACTGATGAGCATGTGGAATAAACTGGAGGTTGGAGAACTGGAGAGGAGCCTTCAGTTCCCTTTAGAAGCCACCCTCCTCTCATCATTTACTCATCGCCAGTTGGTCATCACCAAGTCTTACGCCCCAACTAGTTACTCTTTTCAAATGCCTCTGCGATCAACAGAGGCTAATGCTGCCCAGAAGTCAAATTATATGTAAGGATTACAAAGTGAACGTTTGATTTAATGACAAGAAATTTATTGATGACTATGGTGAGACTTCCATTGGTGTGGTGGCGCAGACCCTGGTTTGCAGGGGGCGAGGGTGAACGAGAAGAAAGAAGACACCATGAGTGTTGGTTGGTTGGCAGTGAAAGTGAGTACAGAGAAGGAGCAGTGGAGGACGTGGATTTCAGGGGACAAGCTCATTTTTTTTGGGACTTCAGAGCTAAGTGGCCATGTTGATAGAGAAGGAGACATCTGGCTGATGGTTGGAGAGGAAACAGATGGGAACCGTTGAGGAGGTGGAAGCAGGAGAGACTCCTGGACAGAGTGGAGGGAGGGCCTTCCGTGGGGGACGCGTTCTTTTCCATTGTTTCTGGAGGAGGAAGGGAAGTGTTTTGTTTTTGTGGCAGGAAGTTGAGGTGTTCTTTGCCTCTAACTGCAGTTTTCTCTATTAATAGATGATGAGGTCTTCTGAGAGTAAAAGGGAGGTTTGAAGTAGAGCTTAGAAGTTTTCAAAACTCCTACAGGCCTTACATCAACTGCTATGGAAAATGAGGGAGAGAGTTGGCTAAGGAAGTATTCAAAGACGGCTTGGCAGTGTTAAGGGTCCAGTTGTGGAATTTATTGCATCGCTTAGTATTTGCCTGACTGTTTTTCCTGCACAAATGTGCTCACACGTCTGGGTCTAGTAAAGCAAGGAGTGGGTAGTTGCATCTTTGTAGAGTTGTGTGAATAGGCCACGGGGAAGGGACATTTAGGATATTGACAAGTGAGAGGTTGAAGTGATGGGTCACGGAATTGATGCTGAATAAAGAAAGAAGTAAAGACAAGAGTGGACAGAGGTCAAGAAACTGTGGGTCCCAAGAGGCTGAAAAAGCAGGGGTATTGGGAAATGGAAGAGTCTGAAATACAGGAGGTGCTGGTTAGGCAGATGCCTGAATTTCTGCCTGATGAAAAAGTCTGGAAAGACACACTTTTGGCTGAGAGATGGGTGTTGCACATGGGAACCACCTGGATCTTGAGGGCACCGAGATTGTGGAAGGGCTTTGGAAAGGAAGGCTGAGAGCTGGGTGCTAGAAATCTTAGGGGAATGTGGAGACATGACAGCTGTGGCAAGGGCTAGCGATATGTCTGTCATGATGGCATGAGTCTCGAAAGGGTTTTCACAGGGCCACGGAGGAGGGGTGGTAGGGAGCAGTGTGGAATGAGGACACTCACAGCTACTCTTGGTCTTAGGAGGTGGGGTGAGGTTTGTAGATGTGAGCAAATGAGCAGCTTTCCCCATGATGGGGCAGCAGGGAGGCTGTATTCCCAGGGGAGAGCAGCCATCAGAACTCGAATAGGTTGAAGAACTACAGGAATTTATTGGTTTGGTTATAGAATGGGTGTTTCAGAGAGCTTGGTGGAAAGCTCTGAGAGTGGAAGCCCAGAGGAGCCTGAGCAGAGGCCAGAAGCTGTCTTCACATCATACTCAGGTGTTTTTTTTAGGGCAGGCGGGTTTGGAAGCCGAGTAGGACCCGCTGGCTAATATCTGACAGGGGAAGAGGTCCTTTTGTGGGAATGGAGTCACTCAGACTTCTTAGAATCCAGCTGTGGCCTCAACAGATGCCATTTCTGATGAAGACCCTGTCTCCCTAGAATGAGTGGGTTGTAAATTCTAGATTGAATGGAACTTCTCTGGAATAGCTCCAGGCCACAGTTGGGCACATCCACTCCTGGGGAATGAGAGGAGCCCTTTGGTGGCTGGTGAGCTCCAACTGACAGGGAGCTCTTCTGGGTGATAGATTACCCTGTGGTTCTGTGCTAGGTCTTCCAAAGTTTGAACTTACCAAAAAAAAAAAAAAA